CTTAGGTTAGGATTTTTCTGATTTTAGGTTAGGATTTCTTAGATCTTAGGTTATGTAAGTTAGAACTGAATTAAATAAAAATTACCTCATAATACGATAAGAATCCAGCTTCGTTGGTGTAATTACCAGGTATTCCACCACCAGAAGCAGGTGCTCCAATATCAAATTTATCTTGATCAACTAATGTAAATGATCTGCCATAAGTTGGCATACCTATCATCAATTTTTCTTTTGGTGCACCTTGTTTAACCCATTCTCGTGCACTGTAATCCTACAAAATTGAATAAAAAAAAGAAAAAAAAAGCAAGATAATATAAAAAATTCAATGAAAAAATCATAACCTTTTAAAAATGTTATTAAAAATATTCGTTTAATTGATACTTACGACAGTTAATTTCTTTTGATAACTCGTTGCACTTTCGAGAGGATAAAGTGGACTGTTGTGTCCAACTTGTCGTTCCCATTGACCATGAAAATCGTAAGTCATCACATTGATGAAGTCCAGGTACTTGGATATTTCTGGGACGTCGTATCTGATCGATTCAATTTTTTATTTTTTTTATTATTCTAACAATTTTCTTTCCCCACCTCTTGTCCCCTTATCCCCCGATCCCATCGATCAATTTTATTTATGTTTAATTTCTTTTTTTTACTTACCCTGCAGCTATAGCTTCGAAACTGGCAGGTACTGCAGCCGATAAAATTAATTTAGGTTGATCCGAACTCTTGGCTTCACCTTCAAAAGCAAGCCTAAGTTCTTTCAGAAGATTCACGTAAGCTGTACGATCATCAGCTCCTCTATAAAATCAAATTTATGTCCTTGATCATCATTTTTTATTTAACCATTCGTATTGGTAAGACGAGATGATGTTTTTTTTTTACAAAAGTAAATGTAATTGTTCATAAAAATTCACTTTTGATAATGCACAATTTTTTTCGTATATAATTTTAACCCGTATTGTACAATAAAATGAAAATCGTCATGGTTAAGATTATTTATACGGTACGTTTATTTATAAAATAGTTGACAAAAACCGTAAGTGGTTAAAAAAATATTAAATTAAATTATATATTATTTTGTTTATATACATAGTGTTAAACATTTGCATTTGATTCGACATAGATTTTTATCTCAGAAACAATTTTAATCAAATGAATGATTTGATTATTATTATTTATAATAATATTTATAAATATTACCGTGGATATTCCCAATCAACGTCCAACCCATCGAATTTGTATTTCCTCAGAAATTCAATAGCTTCGTAAACAAATTGATTCATTCGGAAAGTATTGCTAGTCAAAGTTTTGAATGGTGTCGATCCGAAAGCCCAACCACCAATTGCCAACAATATCTGATAAATCATATCACAACAAGTTATCATAATAATTATCATAAAATAATAAAGAATAAACAACAACAAAAAAAAGAAGAACAAGAAAATAAAAAAGAATATTCGTACCTTAATGTCAGGATTCTTTTCACGAAGTGCTATCAATCGTTTATACATTTCAACATCCTGATCGCTACCTTCACTCAGCATATGATCGTTCAAGGTCGCGAAAGCATAGACTACGTGGGTGCACAGGGTTGGGTCAATGTCCTCGGGCAAGAATTTGCCAAGGCCTGGTCTCTTATGGGACCAGTTGGTCAAATAACAAATAGCTTGTGCTTCCCTTTCTATCAAAATAAATGATTGAAATCATCATCATCAAGATTATGGTATTCATTTAAAAAACAAAAAAAGTTATTACAATAATAATTACCATTAGTTGGTGTGTTAATAACCAATTGAGTAATTTTAGGTACTTTTTTGGCCTTGGTCAATGCATCAGAGATAGAAATTTTATAAGGTTCTGGTTTTTTAATAATTGTTTCGGTTATGGTAGTTGCCACTGAACTCCAATCAACATCTTTGGCATTAGGGCCACGTGACATTCCTCTCAATTCTTCTCTCATCGCACCAATCAATGGATATTTAACATTACCAACACAAGAAGTACCATTGAAATCGTCCATGTCTACTGTCCACACCATGGCACCACCGTAACCGGCCGATTTCAACCAATGCATTTTATTTCTTATCGATCTTTCGTCATCGAAACCAACCCATTGATCACCGTAAACCAAATATGGTACTTTCATCTCGTCGTCCCAGATATATGCTGCCCCATTTTGCAACATTTCACAAATCTGAACCATAATCAAACACACACACACTGTTAATGATTTGATTTCATTTATTTAAGATTGAAACAGTGAAAATAATTCATGACTTGCCTCATAATAAGCCAAAAAACCGGATTCCTTGGTGTACTCTCCAGCTTTACCACCACCACTGGCAGCTGAATGTACACGGAAGTTTGATGGGTTTGATAGTGTAAACGATCTACCATAAGTAGGCATACCGATGATCAATTTTTCTTTAGGTGCACCCAATCTTACCCACATCGATGCTGCATTGTCAACGCTCAATTGTTTTTGCCATTCCGAATCCAAGGATGATGCGAATAATGGCGCATTGTGTCCGGTTTCTCTTTCCCATTTACCATGAAAGTCGTACGCCATGAGATTTATAAAATCCAAGTAACTGGTAACACGGTTAAATTATATTTGGGTTAAACTAAAAGTTACAAATTGTGTTATAATTATAAACTTCATAATGGGGATTGTTTTTTGTGTTAAATTTATTTCGGAAATGTTAATTAAAAAACAAATGCACGAGCACTGTGTTTATTAGGGGTTCACTCTAATAAATAAAAATGAAATAAATTAAAAAGAGGTTTTAATTAAATTTGTTATTAATCAACTCTTGTTATAGGAGTCGTACGAAATGAAAGAAAAAAAGTTCTAACCTGGCAACAGCTGGTACATCGTAACCACCTTTAACGTTGTCAGGACCAACAGGTACAGCAGCTGTCAAAAGAAGACGTGGTTTTTTCCTTTCTTGTGCCTCAGCTTCGAAAGCTTCTCGTAGTTCTGAAAAAAATGCAACCAACGTGTTTCCTTTTTAAGATGTTTCAATTTTCAAATAAGATTTTAATTAAAAATGTTTTTTCGTTGAACTTTTGTTAATATAATAATCAAAACAATTTTTTATACCCTTCAATAATAAAACGTAATTCTTCTTGTCGTCACCACCTTTCGGATATTCCCAATCTATGTCGAGACCATCAAAATCTCGATCCCGTAAGTATGGTATTGCACTGTAAATGAACGTTTGTCTCGCGTATCTCGTCGATGAAACGTCCTTGAATTTTTGGGTACCAAACGACCACCCACCTTTTGATAATAATAAAAATCAATAAATTTGTTTACGTTTCGATTATTCTGTCCATTATTATTTCATTTCAAACGCACGTTATTTATCACGTTTATTAATTTTATTATTTAATTCGTTAATGATTTATTTTTGAAAATTATTAGGATGAATCAAAAGTTCATGCGATTTATTTAGATGCGCTGGGAAATTTGTAAACAGCGACACGAAATATTAACGGGATGAAGTTAGTTGATAATTAGGATGCGCGCGCACAGCGTCACGAAATATTAATGGGATGAAGTTAGTTGATATTGAAGATGCGCGCGCACACCGACACGAAATTAAACAGCACATGAAATTAATCGATAAATCTACTTTAAATTTATTGTCTACACTATATATCTATTTATTTTTGTATTTCTATATACGCAAATAAATTCCAAAAGTATTTCAAAAGTAAATTTAACAGAAAACAATCTCCATGATGCAATTTCAATGCAATAAACGCACGAACATTTTGTTCACCCTAACGAATAATTTTAATTGGATAAACATACCAACGGCAAGTAAAATCTTTAATGATGGATTACTTTTCTTCAAGTTAATTATTCTCTCGTAAAGACCAATTTTACCGTCCTTGGTCTCGTCGTTCGATTCGAAACTCGTTAATTTATTTTTCTTTAACCATCCGAATGCAAAGACCAAGTGGGTGCAAAGATCTGGTTGGATATCCTCCGGCATGAATTTACCGACCTTCGTTCGATACTGCGACCAATTTGTGTAATAACACACAACCTGTTAGGAAAAAACACACAATAATTGATTTATTTTAAATATATAATTAAAGGAAAGTACAATATAGTATATATAATAAACAATGTACCTTGTAATCGTTCGTTTTCCCAGATTGAATCTCATTTTTTGTGTTTTTATTGTTAACGCGATTTCTTGTGACCTTGAACCTGTTAACACTAGCCGATACTTCTTGATCATTCGAGATCGATGGAGTTAAAGTTGTAGGCCTTCGTAATCTTTTTCTAGCGCCTTCATTGGTAAACAAAAAACATAATTGATTATTATTCAATCTTTTTTCGTTAAGTGTCGTTCGTGCAAAGGCACCGAATTTGAGAACTGACCTGTGGGCGGGGCTTAAACAACATGGCTGACTATTGTGTCCAATCAAAGTGTTATCCGTATAATAAAAATATATTTATTTGAATTAATTTATGTTATCTCTATTTAAGTGAGATGTTTAACTGGATTTTGTACGAATTTAACTCAATAAAATTTTATTAGTGCTGAGAGAAAATAAAATGTTCGTGTAAAACAGGTTTTGGATGGAAAATGTATGCACGCGGTGGCCATTTTATTACATTGCTATAATTTTCTAACCTTAAATGTCACACCGAGTAATTTATTATAAATTATTATCGTTTTATTAGATTTTTGTCTAATTTTTCAAATATATTTTCGACATAAATCAAACAGCCATCAGGCTTGGGAATTAAATGAAAACTGATATCTAAATTTTCATGTGTATTTCATATTTTTTTTTACGCAGAGATAATTTTATCTTACTTCTATAATATTATATTAAAAAATATTTGTCTTTTAATTTTATATTAATTAAAATGTAATGGTTTATAATAATTTATTATACTGTACACTACAAATTAGTTTCACTTTTGGTCACCAGACGTCGCGACTGAAGTAGTCAGTTCCGAAAAATAATATTTCGTATTTTAAAAACGATAAAAGTAAAGAAAAGAAAATTTTGCTTTCATTATTTTTAACGCAAAGATAATTTTATCTTACTTCTATAATATTATATTAAAAAATATTTGTCTTTTAATTTTATATTAATGAAAATCTAATGGTTTATAATAATTTATTATACTGTACACTACAAATTAGTTTCACTTTTGGTCACCAGACGTCGCGACTGAAGTGGTCAGTTCCGAAAAATAATACTTCATATTTTAAAAACGATAAAAGTAAAGAAAAGAAAATTTTGCTTTCATTATTTTTAACGCAAAGATAATTTTATCTTACTTCCATAATATTATATAGAAAAAATATTTGTCTTTTAATTTTATATTAATAAAAATCTAATGGTTTATAATAATTTATTATACTGTACACTACAAATTAGTTTCACTTTTGGTCACCAGGCGTCGCGACTGAAGTGGTCAGTTCCGAAAAATAATACTTCAGATTTTAAAAACGATAAAAGTAAAGAAAAGAAAAGCCAAAAAAACAGAAAAGAAAAGAAATAAACAAATAAGGAATACCTTCTGCCTGATTTGAAAAACTCAGGAGGAATACCGCCAAGCAGGCAAGCAATAGCCTCCTAGTTGTCCTGTTGCTTGAGACCTGGAATGAAAGTGAACGTACATACAGGAGACGTTAAAAATGTATACAAGGAAACGTGATTACGATTAAAACTTGGAGAAACATTCTTAAACGAAGTTTCTAGCCTCGAGCTAATCACGACTTTGTTGCTGGAGTGGGGTGGGGGGGGAGGGGATAGGAATACAAGGATTGGTTAACTCGTACGGATGATAATAAAATACTAATTTTCATCTATGAAATACGAATTTGTGGCATCGGTTAAACGGATAAATAGAACTAAGATAGAAAAAGTGATAGTTTTTAGAGAGGGGTAGGGGAGGGGGAGGGGGAATAGAAAAACAAACGGCGAAAGTACTTTGCGGTTTTTTTACAATCAATTATCATCCGTACCTAACACGAATCGACGTTTTAATGTTAACATTATCGAGGATATTTATTTTACGAACGATCTCATCCTTTTGTATTTTATTTGTATTTGTATTGTTTCTTTTTTTTTACAAAATGTAAGACCAATCGGAATGCGATCTTAAAACTTTCTAACGTTTTGATCTGTCGAATAGTTTTCATTCGTATTATGTCAAAAGTTTTGTTTTAATTATCGTAAGAATAATAAAAATTCAATGAAAAATTAGAACAAAATGATATGTATCGTTTATTTAATTGTAAGAATATTTTATAAATGAAGAACAATGGCAAGATTAGGTTTGAAATATTGATTTTAAAAATGCACAATATTTAAGTCGTCTAAAAATACAAACAAATACAAACCACGATTTGTTAGAAAGCAAAAGATATAAATAAAACAAATACAAACATTTCCTGTGTGTGTTAAAATATTATCATATATCTCGATTAAAAGTGATAATCCTTATTGTTTTTCTCACTATGTTTCTTTATGGTTTTTTTTTATTTTTTTTTTAATCTTAAATTCACCTTTGCTCGAATTACTCAACATACTTGTATGCACATTTGTAATTGTAATTACGACAACTTCGTTTTCACATATGTGTGTATGTGTGTGTATACACATATATATATATATAGATATTAATTACGTTAAGTTGATTGTTGGTAATTTTCATTTTGCACATTCATTCTCACTCTTCTCGATCATGAAAGACAGATCGCAAGGATTATTATTTCAATGTGGAAATGATGATGCCAACATTAGAGTCCGTCTTTTAATTAACTTACTGTTTTAAAAGCAAGCATTACTAATTAACGCGGACGTGTATGAGTAATTCTCATTAATAATTAATTATCTTTATCTTTCTTGTTTCTTTTTCATTAAGTGTTACACGGATAAGAAACACGATTTGCATACAAATGCATCTTCTTCTTCTTCTTCTTTTTCTTTTTCTTCATTTCCCTCTACTCCCCCCCCCCCCCTCCTCCTGCCATCGTTCTGTACGTGTTTTGGTATTATTACAAAATGTTTCACTTAAGTCGATTGTTTTTATTTATTTATAATTATTGTTATTATTATATTATTAAGTAGAAAATTCGTTTTATTTTATAAATTATTTTATAAAGTTCGATCTAATCGTGCGAGAAAGTCACGGTTAACGGTTATACTTTTAACGGAAAGAAAGTTTTTCTTATAGAAATATAACTAATACTTTTTCTTTCCCACGATTGTACTGCGTTTCTTTTTTTTTTCTCTTTTCTTTTAACTATTAATTATATTATCATAATTATTGTTATTGTTAACTCTTTTGTTGAGTTCAAATTTGTATTTGTATGGACAATACGTGTGTGGGTTGGTTGTAACGAAAGGGTTAAATGTTATCAACACAGTATTTTTATTTTTATAATAATTGAGGGATAAATTTGATTTGCACCATCGGTAAAGTAGGAACGTGAAAGAATAAAGGTTAGGTTAAGAAGATACAAATAGAAATACAGATTACTTAGAAGAAAATTGATAGAACAATAAAACACGTTAGCTATTCATTTTTGTATGAACAACACAGTTGAGTTAAATTGTTCCTGTACATTAATACGGTGTCTAATATTTTGAGAGAATAAATTTGAATTATTTGCACCATCGGTAAAGTAGGAACGTGAAAGAATAAAGGTTAGGTTAAGAAGATACAAATAGAAATACAGATTACTTAGAAGACAATTGATAGAAAAATAAAACACGTGAATTATTCATTTTTGTATGAACAACACAGTTGAGTTAAATTGTTCCTATACATTAATACGATGTCTAATATTTTAAGAGAATAAATTATAATTATTCGCTCTATCGGTAAAGTAGGAACGAAAAATAGAATAAAAGTTAGGTTAAAAAGATATAAAAATAGAAATATAGATTAATTAGAAGAAAATTGATAGAAAAATAAAACACGTGAATAATTCATTTTTGTATGAACAACACAGTTGAGTTAAATTGTTCCTGTACATTAATGCGATGTCTAATATTTTAAGAGAATAAATTTGAATTATTCGTTCTATCGGTAAAGTAGGAACGAGAAAGAATAAAGGTTAGGTTAAAAAGATATAATTAGAAATATAGATTACTTAGAAGAAAATTGATAGAAAAATAAAACAAGTGAGCTATTCATTTTTGTATGAACAATACGAAAGGGTTAAATTGTTCCTGTACATTAACATGGTATCTAATATTTTAAAAGAATAAATTCGAATTATTTGCACCATCGGTAAAGTAGGAACGAAAATAGAATAAAAGTTAGGTTAAAAAGATACAAAAATAGAAATGTAGATTAATTAGAAGGAAATATATTGAAAAATAGGACACACCAGAGTTTCTAACTTGCAATATACGTAAAAGACTCGTTCTGAAAGTGCATTAGAGATTAAATTCTAAACTTAGGTTAACAAAAAAGAAAAGAAAGATGGAATCGATCCTCCATTTCTTCCATTTCCGTCACGGATATATCGATTTCTCTTGTGTTCATTCGATCGTTCATTAACGAATCAACTGATATGAAGTTATACATACGTATATATATGTATGTATGTATTTTATTCTGCACATTGATTCTTCGAATACATCATATTATGGTGAAAGAGGTGGTCAGAGGCTGTGCCCGTAATTTAAAGTGAAATTTTCACGGACGGTCGCTCACGATGATCTAGAATTTTCTGTCTCGTGAAACCGAAGGCAGAACAAAAAGAAAAGAAAAAAAAAATACTTCTCGTCGCGTTCAAGATGTTAACGTAATTCAAACTCGGACGTATAGTATTTATTAGGATACGTACTCGTTCACCGTGTCGACGTAATTTCATAGTTTTTTTTTTTAAACGAACGAGAAAAAGAATAATCAAAAGAAAGCTAGTAGAACGTTTTTTATGATAGTTTAGTTTATTTGTCAGAAAAGACAAATAAAAAATGAAAAGGAATTTTATTTGATGTTAAAATTTAATAAGGGAGGATTCAGAAGTGTGTTATTTTATGCCACTCTGTTTGAAATATTAAATAATTTGTATTCAATTATTATTATGAGTAAAGGATTGAAACTATTTTCGTAATATAAAAATAATCATTGTTATAAAAAATGGATG